TTAAGAGACCTGACTCTTGCAAAATGACATGATAGATTTTCCATCGTACCAGTGGAGTTACTGTCTCATACTATTCTTTACCATATAGAATACTACTTGAAGAAAAAGCATTTAAAATCTGTTACTGTTTTCTTAATGTTATGTTAATGTGACACTAGTTCATTTTATTTATATTAAGTTCAGTTTGTTTATACATCATTCACAGTGAAACTAACATCAATGAGTCTGTTTCTTTTTTCTTTTTGAGGTAAATGGCTTCCAAGTCCACATTTGGACTATGTGGTTGGCATTTCTAAACAGGTCTTTGTGAGTAAATGTTGCTGTTTTCTAAAAAAGAGAACTTCAGCACTCTGCAATGCAGGTCTCATCCCTAGCATTTGACAGAGACTCTCGAATAAAGGAATTGTAAAACCCTCTGGCCATCATACAGGTCTCAGATAAGCACTGTGCAAGCTGATGATAAGGCTGCCTTCAGAGAACTCCACCAAAGTTTTACCTACAGTGCAGAGCTGTTACTGTCAGGGTCCCTCTGTGTTCTTTGGAAGTCACTGGTAATACTGTAATCACAAACAGCAGCTTCCATTTAAGTGCTGCTATGGTGTGCACTGTTAGAGTAGCCTCAGACTTGTGGGGGTCTGACAGACAAGCCTAATACTGCTTTCCTTATTCTAGAATTTTTGTATTGTATCTTTGGGATTGAAACCTCATTTTTCTCTCCTGTCACTGCAGCAACTAATTTCTGCTTCAGAGACCTTTTCCATAGATCATAAACTACCTTACCAGGCTAGACTGTCTTGACATCATCTCAGAACTAAGCTCTCACTCACATAAAGAGATAGTAATACTGTTATTAGTGAAAGTCAACTATTCATGAAAGAAGCCAAGCCAGAACTGTCAGAACAATGTGCACATGTGTCATTCCCAAGAACTGGTCAACAGTTGCACAGAAGAATTGGCACTACAGACTGTAAATTATTGCAGAGTAAAACTTGTAGGTGTTTTAAGGTCTGTAAGACAAATGTTACCTGCATAGAGAAAAGAATTTGAACAAAAAGGACCTACTGATTTTGTGTCATTCTTCCAAACCTCTGCAGGTTCTTCATGGCTGATAAAAGATAACCAGGCATGCTGCTAACTTTTTTAATAGATTTTTGGTCTGTTATCCCTGTTGCAAAGAACACCTGGTGTTCACCATCAGCCTAGGAAATGCTGCAATTTTAAAGTGGTATGCCATGGAAGATCTGGGCTTTTAAACAAGTTTAGGAAATTGGTGTAGTTTATTTTGCAATTTCAAAACACACAGGGAATCTTTGAGTAGTATAGCTTACATCTAGCTTTATGAAATACAGTAACTAACTGTGGTTACTTTGGCTATATATAGTTTCACAGTTAATATATACATATATTAAATAATACAAAATGAAATCATTCCAAACATTTTATTTCTTTTGAGAGGCTGTGGGAGACTGGAATTGTGCTGTGCAGTTCTTATTAGGGTTCTACGAAGATTGAAACATTAATCCTTTTCCTCTATGTGTTGGTGGAGTTCAGTGAGCTATGTTAGGTTATTGAGAAAGGGTAGAGATTTGAGGTGCCATGGTGCTTTCTGCCAAAACCAGTAGGCAATAACTAGTTCTTCATATTAGTGGAGGTAAAAAACTAGGTGAAGCTGAACTTGTGGAAGATGAGATGACTTTCACATGAAGAGCAAAAGTGTTTTGAAATTCTGTAGTAGTCATCAGATTGTCTTCAGCAGACTGTTTTTGTAGTGCCTAATATATCCTCAGGTATTTCTAGTCATGGTCTTTAGGACCATATGTTTTACCAGATGTGGTACTCATTACAATCACTTGTGTCTGGGGCTTTTTTTTTTCTGCCAGCTCTTCTTTGCAGGCTATGTTGAGATCTCAGTTTTTCACAACAGGGGGAAAAACCTGGTCTAGTTCTAGAACAGGTTTGGCCATCTCAGTGGTACTGGCACGTTCAAGCAGATCATTTCCCTTCTGTCCTCTGTCAGAAGGACCAACTGATGGTTAGTTTCCCACTGCCTACTGTGTCACTGAAGGTCTGTCACTGCATTGCAAATAACAAACATTGCAAATAACTCCAAAGGCATCTTCTTTTTCTTAGTGATCCCTCTTTGAACTGTGTCTCATTCTTCAGGAACAGGAGCTAGCAAACTGACTGTCCTGGTTTTGCCTAGGATAGAGTTAATTTTCCTCCTAATAGCTAGTACAATGCTGTGTTTTGGATTTAGGGTGAGCATAATATTGATAATACACTGGTGTTTTAGTTGTTGCTGAACAGTGCTTACACTAAATCAAGGACTTGTCAGCTCATACTACCATGCTGGGGGGGAGGCTGTGAGTCCACAAACATTAGAGAGGGAACACAGCTGAGGCAGCTGACCCCAACTGACCAAAGGGATATCCTGTACCATTTGGCATGATGCTAAAATGGAGGGAGGCTTGGCTGGGGGCTGCCAGCCTGCTGCTCAGGGCCTGGCTGGGCATCAGTCAGCAGGTGGTGAGCAACTCTGCATCATTTGTTTCGTATATTCTTTTAGCATCATTATTATTATTTTTCTTCTTTTTTTCTATCCTATTAAATTGTCTTTATCTCAGCCCATGAGTTTTACATTTTTTCTGATTCCCTGCCCCATCACTGGGGGAAGGAAGGTGAGTGCATGGCTGTGTGATGTTTAACTGCCTGCCAAGTTAAACCACAGCACTTAGTCATGTAAGAGGTTCTTGGCTACAGCATCAGCTTTCAAAGCTTTTGAGTGCTCTACTTAGAGAATAAAGAAGATGATTAAGGGGAGTGAATTAAAATCCTGGTGATTTGGGTGAGGGTTTTCCTTCTCTCCCTTAATTTCCATATTACAGTCTATCTGTAGGTATCTTTGTCCTTTCTTGTAATGAAAATGAGACTGGTTTAAGTAATGAAAGCTGAAAGTGTTAAACTACCCTAACTAAAGGGAAAATTAGAGATAAGGAAAATATTTGGATAACGTTTACACTTTAGAATTTACTGTTGCTTTACTAATTTAGAAACTTCTTAATCAAAACTAGTTTAGGAAGAGTCCCTGCAATTACTGTGTGTTGGCAGAGAGTTACTGCTTCCAAATATATTCTTGGAAGCAAAATATGGTCTTCAATGGGTTCAGTTGTTGAAAGAAGCTCATGTTGGTTTGGGGGTGTTTTTTGTCTGTTTGTTTGTTGGTTATTTATTTAGTTGAACTCTGTTGAAGATAGGGGTTTTTTTTCTGGCAAAACTGGAAAAGTGTATTCGATGCAAAATGCACTTCTTGCTCTGAGTATTTTTTCAGGTACAATGTGTACCCGGGGAAATAATTACCCAGTCTCCATATTTTCAGAATTGATGGCAATTCTGTTTCAGATTTTTTACTTGACTTTTCCCACTCTTGCATATGATTTACTTCTGTTAACATTGAAGAAATTGAAGGAAATCCTGAACCAAACCCTCAGTTAGTTATTGAGTGACTTTGAATGAAATTTGTGGTGTTTTGACTTATCCATCGATAATTTCCAAATTCTTTGTTTTGCTAGTAAATAACTTTCAGAATGCAGAACAAAATATTATGTGTGGTCATTCTAGATTATGCAGCAGTTTAGGAAATGAACTTTTTTGTTAGGGTAATGGTTGAAAATGGTGAAAGCACTTTTTAAATTGGTTTTGACACTGTATGACATAAACAATAAAATAATCAAAATACATGATCAGAGGGTGTGATTCTGAATATTAAGAGGGAATTAGTTTTGAAACTTCATGTTTCTACATAATAAATTGTCAGAGTAGTATGATGTCTTTGCATTTCCTATTATTTTTAAAGTTCTGGCTTGCAACGTTTTTCAAGTCAGATGCTTTTCTGTCAGTGGGGGCATGTAAGAACATATGTCATAGAATCTGTTGGATAATTCAGCTGTGGTTAAGTATCAGCTCAACCCTGGTTAAATATCAACAAGCCTGCAAGCCACAGCAGAGTCTGAAAAGTTTTGGAATATATTTGTACTTTCTGAATGGCAGGCCTCACTAGTAGAGTGTAACAGTCCTATCTGATCTATGTTAATTGCTGGTTTGCTAGGTATAAGACTTAAAAATTATTACTAAGAGGTATTTCAGAATTTGTTGTGACCTTAGATTGTTGTGGCCTTTAGGTCAAAGTGAGTGATGCTTCTTTTAATTTTATGCCTTGGAACAATGCTTTCCTTACAGCTTAGTGTGGTCAACAGACAAGAAGCAAGTTAGGTTCACATCAGTTTAATACTGTAGCACATCAATAACCTCTAACACTTCTTTTAAAAACTAAAAAGAGATTAGAATGGCTGCTGCATCTTAAGTTCTTTCATTCTTCGCACGGATTTTTCATAATCAGAATTTTGTACTGGCTGATGCTGTTGTTTGTGCATGTGTTGTGTGGTTTTTATTCTTTGTGTCTTGATTTTGTACTTGAGGGTTTTATTTTATTGGTTGACTTTCTGAATGTTTGGATCAGTGTTCCTCTGTTGGCTGGGAAACATTAATGGATTATAGGGGCAACCAACTCTTTATTTCTTGCTGTGTGTTAAATGCATTCTTTTTGAACACACCCTGATCAAAAATGTACGTACTTTCTCCAAGGGATCATGTGGTGAGGTTTCCCTTCTATTTTCAAGTATGAGTCCTCTGGAGTGAAGGGATGCCATCCAAAACCTGGCAATGCAGGAGTCCATGGGATCTGCTAATGTGCAGTCATGTGCAGAGGAAGTTGGCAGGTCTCCCTGTTAGGCCACTCAGTTACCTTTGCAGGGGTGAGGGTGCAGATTTTTACTAAGCATCTTGCTGTATACTTTTGGGGGGGTTCAGGGGTCATTACTTGTGAGAAATGCAAATACATTGAGTTCACATTCACAATAAGTATCCTTTTTTTTGTCATGAGGTAACTTGGACCTTGTCTGTGTAAATCTGTTTATGTGGAAAATCATACTGTGTTTTTACAGGCTATGAGAAGACAGAGGATATTTCTGAGAAAACTTCTTTAGCTGATCAAGAGGAAGTGAGAACTATATTCATCAATCAGCCCCAGCCAACCAAATTCTGCAATAATCATGTCAGGTATTAAAAAACCCACCAGAACATTGCATGTTGCATAGCAAACCAAAAGGTTCTGTTTATTCCACTTCTGCAATTTCCTTTAACCACTAATTAGTCTTGGGCTCTGGCAGGGGGAATGAAGTGAAGTGAGGAGACAAGTAGAGCTGTTTCAATTACAAACCTAACCTTCTGAATTTTTAAGAACACAGTGGGGAAGGTCTGGATGCTTTACAGCTGTACCATCAGTATGTCCCTAGAGGACAGATTTGTTCTTCAGGTTTCAGTTCAGTTCATCTTTTGAACATATTGTTGGTAGATGAATGCCAATGCAGATGTCCTGCACTTGAGCACAGCATTGTGCTTGGGAAATGTTTGTCTTTTTCAGTCAGGCAGTTACAAAGGTGCTGTGGTTGCTTATGGAACTAGTTTTGAATTTCAAGTTCAGGCTTTAGGGACTCTGCTGGTGGTTTATGTTGTGTTTTTCTTGTTTGCTGTTGATGAATCTTAAGTCATACACTGAAAACTCTCAAGCAATGTATATTTAGATCTGGTAGCATCCTCAGTTTGGTTGTTAAAGTTCAAAGGAAATGAATGATAAAGATATCTCTGTCCCCAGCAGGTGTATTTTCTGAAGATACCTTTGATAATGTGCTGGAATTATATAGATAATGAGAAGAATGTTAGTGGGATTTTCCATCACCTTGAGAAACTTTATAATGCTGTTTATTTGTGTATACAACTTGTCTTTTCTCTCTTTTGCTTTGTTACATGACAGCGTTGAGCTCTTTAGCAGGATATGTTCATTTCCCCTTTCATTGCTGTTTTATGCAAAGTCAAAGTAAATATGACTGACTTGAAAAGGAGTTAAAGTATTGCTACAAGTCTTTTGCTTATACATTTTTTTTCAGGATTGTTTTCACATTTATTGTTTTAGGACCTTAGATGGTGGCAATCTGTTCTTAATGAGATGTAAGGCTGATGAAGAGCTAGGAGCTCAGTTTGGAGTGTTGGCTTAGCATGGATTGATACACTACGATAAATTAGATTCTCTTCTTGCAGCTTAGCAGAAGCACACTTAACATCCAGTCTTCATCAGTTTAAAATAAAAATGTGAACTTGCTATTCAGTGACCAGTACAGGTTTTTAGATTTAAACCAATCTTTATAGTTTAAATGATTTCTTAAGTGTGAGCCAGTTCCTGGGTGCTTGCAGGATGTCCCTGCAAAACTCCTTCAGTTTCACTTTAGCCAAAACAAATGTGTGTACTAGCACAAATCACAAAAGTTTCTGTTTCGTTTGCAAGTTCCTGTAACTGAGAGGGAAAGAATACATTTGCAGAATTTTTTGCACTGTAATAATAGCATGTGTTTTTGTCTCTCTCTCAGCACTGCAAAGTACAACATTATCACATTCCTGCCAAGGTTCCTTTATTCCCAGTTCAGAAGAGCTGCTAATGCATTCTTTCTTTTTATTGCATTACTTCAGGTAAGATCAACAATGAGGTGCCAGAGTTTTAAGCTTGCTAAGAGAGCATTTATCCCAAAGAGAGAGATGCTGAGATACTGATGTTGGTGTTCCCATCCTTTCCAAGCTAGCTGGCCTCTCAGAATAGCTGTATCATGTAGACATACCTTTAATAAATTTTTGGATTTGTGGTTTTTTTAGTCCTTGGAGATAACACAAAGATTTTTCTGTAAAACAGGTTAAGTATAGCTGAAATACTGTCAGGTGGAACAGACTATTGTGACAGGAAAATTCCATTTAAAAATATCTGGCAGCCACAGAAAACTGTTTCCTTGGCATTTCTTCTAAAGGAGGGTACTGCCTAAACACCTGGACTTTATGAACTTGAATTCTGTAGGCTCTTTTGACAGACAGGAATTGCAGCTGAGAGTGATTATTTATTCTTAGAGATAAAGGATTGAAATTGAGCCTGGATGAAGAAAATAAGTTGTGGAGTCCAATACTACAGCAGCTATTTCCCAAATACCAGCTGGTTAATGTACTGGTTAGGAAGAAAGCACACAGTGTTTTTTATGTCACCACTGTAACTTCATGAAGTATGTTTGTAAAGTGCAATCCCTGACCCAGGTTACTGAGACTGTTTTCCAGAAGTAGATAACATTTTGCCCATCTGTCAGAATATTTTTGTTTCACAGTAGTTCAAGTAGATAAAGCAGACTGTGGGTTTTTGTATACTATTCTCTGAATGCATTAACTGATGATGAATTAAAATTGAACTGTGGTCAGGTGCAGTCATAATTCTCATTTACTAGTTCTGCATTTCAAACATATTTGATAAAAGCACATTTTCTGCATAATTTCAAATGCATTTTTTAGAGTATGTAGATTTGTGTGTCGTGGAGGTCATTGTGGAGCATTAGGACTTTGAAGACCACTATCTCCTGTCGGGCTGTCAATGAGATGACACTGCCAGGAGAGAGAAACTCAGGATAATGCAATCAGAGTATGGGCTGATGACCCTTTTGTTTTCATATTTTGCCTGGAAAATAACATGCAATTGGAATACAAGTTTGGACGTAGATGTCTCCACTCTTAACAAAAATCTAAACTGAGAAAATTAGTTGTGTTTTATAAATAACTATTTTAATATAATGTGAATCACAGAAATGGAAGGTGAACATTCTGCAGGCACTAAAACCTCTGGAAATAGCTCCACTTAACATTACTATTAAAGATTCAAATGGTCTTTTATTGTATCAGCTGCTTTTGAACTGAAGACAGTAAATCTATCTTGGAAATAATCAGCACCAGGTCTTAAAAGTGAAGTTGTTTGTCTTGTCTTTATTTGCACAGAAATTACTGCTTCTTTTATTAAAAATGTTTTCCACCAGCAGTGCAAAAATTTTTACTTTCTCTCCTTTTTTTTTTTTACAGCAAATACCAGATGTATCACCAACAGGCCGTTACACAACATTGGTCCCTCTCTTATTTATTTTAGCTGTAGCTGCAGTGAAGGAGATAATAGAGGATATTGTAAGTATTTAATAGCAATATTTTATAAGGAGCTTCCATGTTTTTCATAGATAATATTGCAAAACCTTGCCTGAATAATTCTGTGCTGACCCATTCTTGCCTTCTGGATGCTTTTGAAAGAATGGGAAGCTACTTACTTTCAAAGTTGGTATCTTAGGAATATGGTGTTACAATTCAAAGGTGTGTTTACTGTTTATACAAGTGACAATAGCATGACAAAACAGTGACTGGTGTGTTTATTATATAGATTGTTTCTAGTCAAATAGCTCTTTGAAATGAAGTGCAAACTTATTTTTCAAGTGTTAACTGGAGCTAAAGACTCCACAGAACTCAGTCAAGTCCAGTACTGCATTTTCTCTCAAGCAAGGACTCTGCTAAAAGAAGATTGGAAGCTACTGATCTCATCTCAGGTGGAACCTATATTAAAACCAGATAACCATGAAATATTTATTTGGTTCAAAAATTGTAATTTGTTTTTTTCCTTCCAACATGAGCAGAGTCCTTTACTCCCACTATTTATGTTGTGAGCTGGATTTAAGCTCAGTCTGTGAGGGAGGTACTAGACTAACATTTTACAGAAGAATTGTGAGAACCTCTGGCTTGAGTCACATTGAAGAAGTATAGTCTTTCCCTGAACACAAATAATAAGCTTCCTGGGAGCATCAGATTTATTGTGTTTGAGCAGAATTACAGTGTATGTGCAGAAACGTGATCAAGAGGAAGAATGATGTGTTGCAAAGAAGGTTTGAAACAGGCAAGATACAGTGCACTTGGGTTGTATGAAGCTCCTGGGTCACAGAGTTGAGCAGTTGTGCAAGACACAATTAAATGTTTTTCTTCACTTTTGGCATTTCTAGTTTTGGCTGCCCAATAGTCAGCTTCTCCTTAAATGCCTTTGTTGCTCTCTCTTTACATAAACAAAATGCCTTTTGAAAAAAAAAAAAGCCATAAAATCAATTCATGTTCTTTCAGATATTTTTAACCATTCTGCTGTTAATGCTTACAGACTTACACCATCTGTCAGCGTCTAGGCAAATATAAAACTGAGGCTGCTGCTACTGTACAAAGTGTCCTTTTTAAAATTATCTCATCCAGTTGCTTTTCTTTTGTCATTTTTTTTTTCTACCACTTGTTCTTTGCAACTTGAAGTGCATGGTTTGGCAGGGTTTGAGGAAAGGCAGGGATTAAGTTTAGTGGGTTTTGCATAGATCAGCTAAAACAATCATGTTCTCATTGCCAAATACCTAAAGGCAATACAGCTGTACTGTTATTTTCCTGGAAAGCTGACCACTTGCTGCATAGTAAAATATTCAGTGTTTTCCCTTAACCTGTAATTTTCATTATGTCTCAGTTTCTTTCCATAGTGAGATATCTGGGATCTCCAGGAATGGTAATCTTCATCTAATATTAAGGCTTTTGGAACCTTGTATATCAATACCAATAAATACACTTACCAGAACAATACCTCTAGCTCAAGAACCAAATGTTTCTTTTTCTGGAATGAAATCCCAAGTAGCAAAAGATGTTAGCAGAGGACATTATTCATGAGCAGCATGTGTTTTCCATATATGTTTCAGAAGTGCTAGTGAAATTTGTGACATGCAGTGCTAGATTGTCAGCTGTTTCCTATGATTTCACCCATCATAGATCAGAAAGCAACTGATATTAAACTGCTACTTTTCAAACTGAAGGAAATTCACACTAGGCAAACATCTGCTTTGGTCAAGTTCTGCTTTTGCTTTGATCGAAGGTTACTCATCTGTACAATCAACTATGTTTTTGCAAGGGGAATCTGCTGATAATCTGTGAAAATGAGTTCTGCTTTCGCTTTGATCGAAGGTTACTCATTTGTACAATCAGCTATGTTTTTGCAGGGGGAATCTGCTGATAATCTGTGAAAATCTAGTAAAAAATAATACTTTAAATTCAGCTTTGCAAAGTGATAAGGTAGCCTTTTAAATGCTGCTAGCTCAGAGTCATATCAGCATTTTATTAGCAATAAATTGTTCAAGTAGCTTGACATTTTTCTTTCAATTTACAAGATTGCTTCTGGTTCCCTTTTTATTTCAAAGGCATCAGTTCTATATCCCTGTTCAAAAAGCTTACCTAAACCAGTTGATTCTATTTAAAGTAATTTTACAAAACATGTTCCTCCTCAGGAAAAACTGAGTTTATTAGTCTTAAATGCTGTGTTTAAACTAGTACTCTGCTAAACCTTGGTAGTTAAAGTGAGTTTGGTCATTACTTTGAAAATGCTGATTAATAGCTGAATCAAAAGATTTCTGTCAAAAAATTTCTCACAGCTCCATCAAAACTGAGGGACGTCATGACCTGTTTGGGGACTTGTTCTGTCAATTTTTGTTTGTCTGTTATCGTTTGTCCATGGGTGTTTATGTGGAAGTGAAGTTTTATGTTTACACAGTCATTGCTTGACTTCAGATCTGTATGAGACACATGAAGAATCATTTCATGATCTTTGCTCTATAGAATCATCTCCCAGATGCAGGAAAGGGCAGAGATAGGGTACAGAAATGCACCACTTCCTTAAATAAAGAACTTGTTTAGATAGTGACTGCCCACACGAGAGAGCATTTGAGCACAACACAGTTTATCTGCAACTGAGTGTGACTTTCCTGATGACCATAACTATGCAAGTAATTAATAGACCTGTTTAAATGTTTAATTGGTTTGTTGAATTGATGAGTGGGAAGGGGTAATAGATGTGGGTTTTATTTGAAGTGTGAAAGCTTTATCATGTCAGTAGAAGTCTTTAACCACTGTGCATTTTTAATTTAGAAAAGGCATAAAGCTGATAACGCAGTGAACAAGAAACAAACTCAAGGTAGGATTTTTTAAAGCCTGTTAATGAAGGGGATTGAATTTTTGTAAAGGATAGTAATGTAATTTGAACTGCTAACAAGTAATTGAGTGGGAAATGGCACGTGCAGATTAATTCAAAATTTGGAATGTAAATGATAGTAATGTAATTTGAACTGCTGACAAGTAATTGAGTGGGAAATGGCATGTTCAGATTAATTCAAAATTTGGAATGTAAACAGTTGAAATAATAATTTACCCTGAAAAAATAGAGTATGTTCTAGATTAAGGCTATGAGGTTCCTAAGAAACTCGAACATGAACTTATTTAACCTAGGTGATGCTGTAGCTGTTAAAAGACCATAATCACCAATATATTTAGTGGGCCTACATTATGATTGAAAGTCTCTGCACTTCTGAGTACACATACCATAATTCTTTTTCCACCAGCAAATCTTGAATAATTCAATTTTGGAAAATGGCAGGAGGAAGGAAGAAGTTTTTCTTCTTGTCCAGAGTGTAAAAAGTTTTAAATTAATAAAAGATTTTTTTTCACTCTCTTTTCGGACCCTTCTTGGTTACCTCTCATTAGGGTCTTTGGTAATTGTTCCTTAAATTCCTGAGTGTTCCACACACATGCCAAAGAGCAAGTCACATTTATTATTCTCTGAAAACACAATCTTGGCAATTAACTGGCAAACAAGGCATGTTTTTTGTATCATAATAGTAATACTTAAAAGTAGAATAGTGGAGCATGGGAACAAGGCATGTTTTTTGTATCATAACAGTATTACTTAAAAGTAGAATAGTGGAGCATGGATGCAATATTAATTGCAATTACCAGGTTAAAACCTATACTAAATATTATGCTAAATGGCATGGGTTGATTTTCAGGATTTCAAGTATGTTCAAGGAGATGATTGCAATCTGTGATCCTAAATTTCTCTGATTTACCAATAGCAGTAAGGACAGAGGAACTCTAAGAAGTTTCCTGGTACCTTTTTATGAATCTTTTTTGTATGAATCTTATCAATATTTGAACTGAGAAAAAAATTTGAATTTATCTTTTCCTCTTGGCCTTTCCCCCCACCCCCTCAGATAATTTCATAACTTTTTAACTTTGGAACACTTTATTCCAATTACTAATTTATTTTGTAAAACACCACATTATCATAAAATCTGTATCACATTTATTTGATTCTCAAACCCTGTAAAGTGTTCTTATTGACTTTGTATTAAAATTCTGTGGTACAAAAACTGTTACAAAGAAAATGTGCTGTATAATTGAAATGCTTGACCTGAATTCACAGAAACAAGGGATGCTGTAAAATGTTATGTAAATGAGTTGTTGGATGGCTTTTCCCAAGGAATCTAGCACATACCTGTATACTGCAGTTAGACTGTGCAACTGGAAAATTATCTTTTTTTCCCTTTCTTTTCAGTACTACGAAATGGTGCATGGGAGATCGTCCACTGGGAAAAGGTGTGTGTTTTCACTGGTGACTTTTAAAGCACAATACATACTTAATATTTGCTTTATTTCTCCAAATAACTGTAAATTGTAAAAGTTAACTGGCATTATAGGACATGTATACTTTTGTATTTTATTTTTTGTTTGTTAATAATTATCTTTCAAAAACTTACTTTGAGATCAAGTAATTTTTGATGGCAGGAGTCAGGCAAAACTGCCATAAAATGGTGGGCTTTAAGTTCAGTGAAAATAACTTGAATAATAAGATGGCATATGGCAAAATGACACACTTCCTTAGTATTATTTGGTTTGCCAAGGCAGAAAATTCTTTCTGAAAACTAGTTACTTTGTGTATTTGTTGAACTTCCTTGGCTTAATTCATGAGAATTTTAGGACTATTACGCAGCAGTTAGGAAGGGAATCTTAAAGGTAACTTTCAAGGACTAAATGTGATCCTGCCTATCTAGTCGCTTAGTTTTATTGGTATACATACCTGAAAGCTTGAAGAAAATTTGCCCACAGTAATTTGGAGGCAAGGTTCAGATGAAATTGGCTGGTGCCTTTGAAGAAGCAAGGATAAGGTCTCTAGTGTGATGCAGTAAAACTGTGATCTTAGGGGAGCTTAATTTCTTCTGTAACTCAACTTTTCCAATTAAGTATTTTACTAAACTAGCAAAAGTAAAGAACTGCATAGAGAAAGTCAGTATTAGGCCTAATAAAGATTAGTTTTCCAAAGAATACCAGTGACTTTTGTGTGCTGAACACCTATAGGCTTCCATAACTGTTTGAGTTCCTAACAGTCTTTCTAGCAAATTCAGCAGGTAAATATTTACTGTGCTTAAAACAAGGGGATAACATATTTTGTTGGAGACCATTAACCAATTCCCAGTTTTCTTTCAGGTAGATGTTGGAGATATAGTTATAATAAAAGGCAAAGAGTATATACCTGCTGACACTGTACTGCTCTCATCAAGGTAGAGATGCCCACTGATGCTTATAGTGTAGAGGCTGGTTTCTCTACCCTGCATTTATTTATTTATTTATTTGTGATTGCTCCAAGGAAATAAAGAATAAACAAAGATGCTGCTCTTCTGAAGTGTAGTCTCTTGTACAACTGGTCATTTGTCATTTAAGGCAATGTTTCTTTAAACTGTGACAATTGCAGTTTGGAAATGACACTGGCATTCAATTTGCCACTAAGAAAAACTTAGTATGTTGTTTTGCTGTTAGATATAATAACAAAAAAGGCTGATTCTCTGTCTAAAAATTGGACCTCCACTGCCATATTTAATCAGGTTGGCTTTTGGATATGTACCCAACGAATTGCATCCAGTAAGTAAATTAAAATGGATATATTACAGGGTTTTTAATGGATGTAGTCACCAGTTTGATAGATGAATCAGGAAAAAAGTGAAGTGAATCATCAAATTAGCACTGCTTGTAAGCTGAGCACTCATTTCATTGTCTAATATATATATATTATTAATGATATCAGCACTAAAAGCAAGACTTAATCTATAGTGTGTTATGCTGTGACTCTTTTCACATGGATAATCAGAGGTTGTTTATCATCATTTCCTTGGACAGTTTATTTAAGAAATCCACATCTTATGTGGAAGATGCACATTTTTCAACATCTATTTGATCAGGTCAACAGAAAACATACTCTAAGAATCCATTTTAATAACTATTACTTAAATGTGGTAATTTGTATTTTGGTTTTCCTTTCTGGCACAAGCAGAATCATTATTATGTGTATGATTATGATCTAGGTATAAACCTTCTATGATCCCACTGAAGTTAATGAATCCACTCATACCTACAATTAAAAAAGTTAAGATCTTGTGTTTCTGTTGACAAACTGTAGCATAGGCTAGTACATTGTTTATTCTGTCTTCCATTAGGTCTCAAAATTAAGAGTAGCTGTTTCTAAAACACTTCAATGAAATCATTATTAAGTGTAGAGTAGTTGCCAGATGATACTGTAAATTTTCCCCCTAGTCTGTCTTCAGTGCTAATGTTTGTCATAACTTAGCTGGTTTTGTATTGGGTGTCCTCTATAAACCTTTTATTTCTGTGCTTTGAGAAGCATTCATAAATTTTATTGGTGCTTCTCCACCAAGATCTTCATAGGCAACAAACATGCAGCAAGAACACTTGTTCTCTTGGCCTGATAATAGGTTCTGTCACACTAATCCTGGTGTCTTGCAGGTGGAACAGATTCCATCCTCTCAGACCAGCTTCTTCATAACCTTCCTGAGTAATTTTCTAAATTCAAATCTATGCCTAGATGTCTTCACAGTTTTGCCCTTTTGGATTTAGTGGCTGCTTGTGGCACAGAGTTCTCCAGGTGTGATTTACACACAGAAAAATACCAACTGCCTGCACAGCCTCTTTGCCAGCCTTGTCCCCCCAAAGGAATCCTGTATCACATGTTGATAAATTGAAATAATAGTTAGTTGCTATGGACTTGGTCAGGACTGTTACTACTTTGTTTAACCTCACTTTCCTGCCCTTAACACACTCTATGTGTCGAACTATGACCATTACTTACCTTTAATTTTCCTGTCAGGTTTTCTTCTAGGCTCCAGTTTGTGATGAGGACTCTGTGAATCATGATTGCTTTTTGGGGCCCAGTTCAGGCATTTCTTCCAGCTAAAACGTCCTCCTTAGTTATATTACTAGGTGCTGTGGCAGCTCTCCTTCCAGGACAGAACCCTGTACTGCTACACTACCTCTAATTCTGCCTGTGTCGTGGCATGTGCTGTCCTTCATCTCTCATCTCCACGTGGCCATGTGGAGCAGTCTCACTGATTTTGCTTTTCAGGTGTTTATTGATGCCCAGTTGCATTTTAGGTTTCAAAAGCAGTGCAAGCCTGTGGGCCTGGTTTTAGTTCAGACTAATAATATTTGGTTCTTTTTACCAGCAAGAGCAATTTCTGGAGAATAAGGTGATCTTAATCATTTTAGGAAACTATAATCTCTTACAGTGAAAGGACACAAACCTCTGAGATTTAATTCCATATGGTTCTTGCTAGTTCAGCGTACACAGAAATGTACAAAGCTGAAACAAAATACAAAATAATTTTAAGCATGTCTGCATAGAAAAGGTAGTTGTCACCAGGCTCTTCAGAAAAGTTGTTGGAAAATCTTTTTTTTTTGTTGTTTTTTTTTATTGATGTGTGGTGTGGCTAGAAACTCAGTTGAGAAATAATAAGCATAACAGTTGGGGTTTTTTGCTGTACATTGTCGATGTGTTCTGCAGCTTAAAATTGGTGCCTTACAGTAAAACAATTCACTTGAGTAAAAATTAAAGTTTTCTAGCTCTTTTCTTTCTGACCTGATGAAAATAGATTTTGAAAAAATTGTCATCAGACGTTTAATTAACATGTATTGTTTGAATAATAATTTCAAACTCTTGTCTTTTTGTCTTTGTTCATTTGTTTTGGTTTATTTGTTGTTTTTTTTTTTCCCTGTCACTTATTTTTCTGTTCTAATAATTTCAAACTGGGATGTGTAGGTGGCAGTAGGGGAAGTAGTGAAAGTGACCAATGGGGAACATCTCCCAGCTGATCTCATCAGTCTGTCATCAAGGTTAGAATAAACTAGTTGCACAGGATATGTGTATGTGGGTCCTCATATACCAAGTATGAACACTGCCATGTTGAGAATCTTTGCTTTGCTATTCACCTTTATTCAACAAAACCTACATATTTATAAAATTAGGGTTCAGTTGATAGAAGTAGAGATGATTAAAGTGTAAATTCATGGCAACACTCCAAGAAATGAAAATTTGTTTTCAGTCCTCTTTGTTTCTACACTATACCCATAAAATTTTATCGGAGAACTTGTCATTGATTAAATACAATTAAACCCCAGGATGAATATATGTTCAGTTCCTCAGACCAAATGAAGAGGAATATGCATGTTTCTACCAACCCACTATTTTCAGCAAAGAATATAGTTTGACGTTGGTAGGACTGGTAGAGGACCCTCTGCACAAACTTGGATGTTGCACAATCTCTGCTGCATGTGATGGCAAAAGCAGCATTGTCCTTGTGTATGGTGACAAAATGCATGTTCCTTAGACATGTCCACTTTATGCTATTGTCTGCACTGTTACTACACTTTGTTTTTCCCTAACCAATCAATGGGCCTGCCTTGATCTAACTGTAACTTACTTTCGAGGTCGCTGCAATCTACTACAGTTATTTCAGTTAAGCATGTGTCTCACCTGAAGTGTCTTTGCTGCCTTAGTCTGTTTTAAAAGTGCTTCACAAAAATATTGTTTGTTTTTTATTGTTAATAAAAATGCTGGAGTTGTGATAATGCCTTATACAGGGGATTCCATCCAAACAACCTAAATAAAAGTTATATTTTTAGAAAAGTTTGCCAAGAAGAAAACGCTAGTCTGAAAGTAACTAATGATACTGATTTGTCACATTGTAATGCTTGTGCTTTACAAAATTGTGTTAGAATAACCAACTTAATGTTATCCTGCAAATATTCTAAAACTGTGTCACCTATCAGCCACTCTTGCATTAATAAAGAAAATTTTAAAAGCACTTGATGCTTGAATTTTATGCTAGAAAGAAGGAAAACATTAGAAGCTTTAAAATGGTGCAGAGAGTAAATCCTGATTCTTCTAAGTTTTAAGGAGGTTTTATGACTTCTTTGGTCCTTTTCAGAATCAAAACTTTCTGTCATAGATATAAGTAGTCGGTGATCTGTTGTCATGCCCAGAAAATGGAAGCTGACTGGAGTAGCTCCTGACCAGTTAGGCTGTTTTTGTTTACTGCCTACTTGCAGAAAAGTAATTTTCTCCTTCTACATCTGTGTTCCTCATTAACAGTTTTATAAGGGTTGTAATATGATTTAAAATCTGAGAGTATTTTAAAAAATTTAAAATCACTGTTGTGTTACACATCAAAAATTTGTATTGAAAAAAATTCAATGCAGGGAATAAGCCATTTCTCACTGTGTCCATAGATGAAGTATTCAGGTAGTAGCATTCTGCATGAACTTAAAACTTTTTATTTAAAGAAAGCCTTTGAAATCGCATAAGGATGATATATTTCAAAAACTGGATTATGTTATCCATAATTGAGAGGTTTTTTCCTAAGAGAACCCTTTGCAAGAAAACTACTTGTGTCTAAACTGCTGCCTACTGCAGTAGGCACTATGAATGCACTATGCTTGTGCTCATATCTTAATCTTATGTAAAAAGATTTTATTTTTTGCTGTGTACAGCACTTTTAGCAGTGTTTCATGGAAGGAGATTTGGGTTTGGCAAACTTCTCTGAAAATGTACTGTTTGTTTTTACAGATTCAGCTGTAATTATTCTGGTTCTCAAGATTTGATAAGACAAGCCTGTTTGCATAAATAGATATTAAAAGATTGCAGGAAGTTTATGGATTTTGACATAATTAACAAGCCTGTTTGCATAAATAGATACTAAAAGATTACAGGAAGTTTATGGATTTTGACATAATTTTAAATTCAGGCGTTTTTTTTCCAAATAATTCAGGATTTTTTTTGTCTTAATAGTGAACCACAGGCCATGTGCTACATTGAAACATCTAACTTAGATGGTGAGACAAACTTAAAAATTCGACAGGTAGGATTTTCACTTTGGAGAATATTGCTACTATTATATTTGCCTATTATTGCTTATAATATAAAAGCATTTTATTACTTTAATGGCTGTTTTGGTAGACTGTGATAGTTTCATGGTTTGAATAAAAAGCTGCTGGTTATTGGCATCATAGGAGCAGAGGAATTAATGGTTACTCCTAAGTTGTTCTTTGTGCTTTGTTTTAGGGTTATTCTTTGGGAAAATAGGTAGAAACGTAAGTAGTTTGAGTATTGGTATTGCTTCTAGGTAATAGATGAGGCAGAAGTCCTGCAGAAAGTAGCTGCTGGTGCCAGTATTGTCCTTCAGGGGCAGGATGGGAATAGCAGTTTTTGACTGAGTGTGCTGTCAGTACACAGGGACATTCTTGCTGAGATATATCAGAGATTCTGACCCTGTCTTGGCCATGGTGTTTTAAGATGCCAAGGTGACTCTTTCACTGGAGCATCCAGCAGTATGACAGCAAAGTGTAGCTGTCTCATTTTGCTCCAACAGGGATATTTGTTTACTGGTCTTACACTGTCAGATTTATAATACATAGATTTATTATTAGAAAGTGATTTTTAATGTCATGACCAATGAATTTTGTTTACAGGGTTTGCCACTAACGTCAGACATAAAGGACATAGAAAGCCTGATGAGACTTTCAGGCAGAATTGAATGTGAGAGCCCAAACCGACATCTCTATGACTTTGTTGGAAACATCAGACTGGATGGGCATGGGTATGTAAATACAAGGAAGGTCTTGGGAGGTTCAGCCTATCAGTAGATAGCTATGTGTTGTTAAACTACTCAAGTTAAAATATGAATAGTAAATCTTTTTTGATGTGTTCCTCACTAGACTTTATTCTTCTAAAAAAACTAGAGGGATTAAGCTTTACTTCTAATGTCTTCAACTTGACTTGTTATACTAGTTGTCCTTCAGAAAGCAATAGGCATTAGTGATAGAAGTGAGTACTAAACAAATTCTGATAGTTCTGGAATATGTACCTAGTAACTCATTTCTTAACCATCTCATTCCTTACCTATTGAGGTTCAGTTTTAGATGCTGAATAGAAAAAGTTTCTTGTCTGGTTTGGTTTTTTATTGATGTTTTGTCTTTCTGTCTGAGTCTGGAGTGGAATGGAGTCCATCACTCTATACCTCAAATTCCTCCAATTTGGTAGCTGAAAGGCATGTGATACCTTAGTTTACTCAGTATGTTTCTTTAAAAGTAAAACACATGCATTTACAAGGTATGTGCTTGTAAAGCTGCTTCAAAAATTCTTACAATACTTCAGTACTTACCAAATACTGATATTTGGAGTCTTCTGTGGTTTCACAGAAGATTCATTGCTAGATCCAGAGTCATTGAGTCCTTCACAAAGATTTACTGTCTTTCTTATTTATTTGGCAGGTATTTATTTCTCCATATCCAATATTATTCATGTTTATGGTTTTAGACTGATACATATGGTACTGACTGACTATTAAATACCTCTTCTTTTTTCCCCTTAATATTCCATTTTTTATTTACTGATTTCTTACAGATGCATTTCCGGAGTTTTCAGTCGCAAGAGTGTGGATCTATTATAATTCCACTGTACTTGTCGTTAAGAAGAGAAAAACATTTACCTGTAATTCTTCTCTGAAGGTAATAGTTATAATAGATCCACACATTCATCGTTCCTCCCTGGCTAGAGGGAAAAACATACTTTTCTTTTTAATCTAATCATTTTATTTTTAAAATTGATTTAAAAAAGAAATATTGAATGTGCTGATGGCTGTTGTGCCTCAAGCATGTGTAGGAGCATGCCATCTGCTGGTCAAGCAATTTGTCATTGAGAAATTCAGTTTTGGAATATTTTGAATATAGTTCTTGTGCAGTAGGATAGTTCCAAAAGTGTGGCTCTAATATAATATTTACCTTCAGTGAAAAAGAATTGCAGGTAAGTAACTCTTTTTGGATCCTGACCTTATTTCAACCTGAAAAATCAGGGATGAGTTCTTTTTCTGCCCATATTAGAGGTAGCACAAATTCATCTAATTGATGAAAAGAAAAAACAAACCCCAGAACAGCAGTTCTGGTTTTGCAGTTTAAAGAAGGTGCAAGAAATATTACTGTGAATTACAAATAACTGTGTTCATAAAGGATACTTATTTCACTGGGAGAGTGGATTGAGAGTTCACAAAATTGTTTCATTTGAAAATGGATTTTGAAAAATAAACTTTGTAAGGAAACGTTTAGGAAAAAGCTTCACTGTCATAAATCACAGGAAACGTAGACGTTTTTGGCTCTGGTATGGTTGCCGAGTAGAACCATATCAAAATTAGTAGTCCATAATAAAACTTGAGTGGTAAATTTAGGAAAAAGCTTCACAGTCATAAATTACAGGAAACGTAGACGTTTTTGGCTCTGGTATGGTTGCCGAGTAGAACCATATCAAAATTAGTAGTCCATAATAAAACTTGAGTGGTAAGTAGTATTTTTGGAAACTTACATTTTTGACTTGTTTTTAACTGTCAAGTTTTCTCTCTGTCAACACTCCCAAAAAGTAAACTATGAAAATTAGGTTCCTAGCATATTTACAATAATCACCTAAATTTTAAGAAATTAGTTTTAACAACTGCTGGTTGCATTTATTCATTGGCATTGATAGTTTTAATGTTAAAATGTAAAACTCCTTCCTTCCAGTACTGTTCCATTGGGATCTGATCAGATTCTCCTACGAGGAGCTCAGTTGAGAAATACTCAGTGGGTTCATGGGATAGTTGTCTATACTGGACATGACACAAAACTTATGCAGGTTTGTCACTTGGATTTTCTCTAAACTATCTCTTTTGTTACCTTATTATGCTATTCCATGGTACAGAAAATCCTTTCAGAAAACATGACTCAATTCAATATAGTAGTAAAACGACACTAATGCAGCATCTTTCTTATGAAGTAAAACCAATAAAAATGAAGCAATGTCTTTTATCTTTACTAACTTACTCACAGAGCAGTTTTTCCACTGGTAAGCGTATTTGTTGGGTCCATTTTCTAACTTGTGTTTTGAAAACTATTTATTTAGTAGTTTGCCTGTTTGTCTTTTTTTACTTTTGGCTGCTCCTAAAACTGTGTTCCTATGGAGCTTTCTTTCAAGTACCAACATAAGCATTTGTGTCAGAAAACAAAGTTAGGAGGGAAGAGCCTATGAAATTCTTTTGCCTAGTGCATTTTGTAATATCAAAATTGACATGTATTTGTAGAGAAAAAAGAATGCTTTCAGATGGATCATACATGTCTTATTTATTGCTTTTCTGATTTGTAAAGCAGTTTCTTGAAAATGTGGGTTTGTATTAGTTGTTTTCAGTAGCACTGATGAAGGTGTATGAACATTGATTTTTATTGTTTACTGTTAGCTGTTGCTGTTACGACTGTTCTGTGTGGTTCTTTAAACTGCTTGTGGCAGAAATCTAACACTAATGCATAGATTTATAAGCTGCTTCTTTCTTCTTTTAGAGAAACAGGGCATTTATGATGATATTTGGGAGACTATTTAGAAAAGGATGTAGTAATATGTAATTTGAAAAGCAAGAGCCATGTTACCTCTTCTAATATTTAATAGCCACTATTGGTTTTTGTCTTTTGCAGAATTCAACTAGTCCACCTCTAAAAATGTCTAATGTGGAACGAATTACAAATATTCAGATTTTGATTCTGTTCTGCATCCTTATTGCCATGTCTTTGATCTGCTCCATTGGTTCAGCTATATGGAATCGAAGGCATACTGGGAGAGACTGGTATCTTGATCTGAATTGTAAGCTGTAAAATAATATATTTAATCTTTTAGTATTCAGTTTAGTATTGTGTTGGATTTTGTTTGTAAGGTATGTGTTTTAAGGCTGCATTCAGCTTATAGTTGTTCTGGTACCAGGTACTTTAAACATGTAAGAAGCAATTTATTCCCCTTTCCTTTTAGTTATTTAATTTTTTATGTGATAGTAAAACAGATTCTCAGCAGTGCTTTATCTTTCTAAATGCTGTTAGTATTTAGTAAGAACCATCTGTTGCCTGCAGATGATAAAAACGTGGTAATGTTAATAATATCTGAATATATTTTTTTTACAAGTAGCAATAATTATCAAACTCCTTTAATCTTGTAGTCATTACTAAGAATATCCATGTCATGGCAAATAATAGCTCTCTGGTCTTTTATACTTGTACTTTATTTGATGTTGGAATTGATATTAATCAAAGTATCCAAAACCTTCTCCGTGGGATCTTATAGTAACAACATAGTCACAATTCCAGTTGGTTTAGAACTTTCATTAAACTCTCTGATTTCATCTCTTTCTTTCATGGTGTGTGAATTAACCTTTTTCAGAGTGTTTTACTGGGATGAGGGAGCAAATACAATGGTGTGAGAACAGATATTTCCCCCTTTCAAAATACAAAACTGTTAAATTTTGAGTTTAGAATTTGGTTATATAGATATTCCCAGATTATGAGCTTAAAATGTTGAAAAAGAGGGAATGTCTGGTCAATTTGCTGTTCAGAAATTGGAGAAGATGGCAAAGATCTTTAGATTTGAACTCTATTATAATAGAGATTCTTAACTCTTATAAAGATCATATTTATAGGCAGGTGATATTGTAATTAATTCCAAAGTTTCTTCTCATACTCAGATGATTTTAATAACCAGCAGTTAATGCAATATTCTGAATATATTGTGTATATATACTTCTGAGTACAGTCTCAAATATTTATTTGATTTGCTTTGGTTTTTTTGGCAGATGGTGGAGCAAGCAACTTTGGATTGAATTTCTTGACTTTTATCATTCTCTTCAATAATCTTATTCCTATCAGTTTGTTGGTTACGCTTGAAGTTGTTAAATTTATCCAGGCATATTTCATAAATTGGGTAAATATGATTTTTATAATATGCATTGGCCTCTAAAATCAAGTGGTTCAGAAGTAAGTGAAATGATTGCTTGTCTATATATACATTTTTTCAGACTTTTTATAAATGTACAGACTTAAGTCTGCTTTTTATTTATTTTTGCTGAATTCTGAGAAGGTAATAATTATTTTATTTACCACTCTTAGACTCTATACAGGTTTTTAATAATATGGATCACTAGAAATAATTGAGTAAAATCTCTAAAGAGGAAATCATTTCTTCTGCAGACTCTTGGAATTGGTCTGAGTGTGTCTGTGGCTTCCTATGTTGAACTAATCTTAAGCAGATGTGTTCATGTTTGGTCTTTGCTTCTATACTTTTCTATTTATGTATTAGATCTTTGGCAAGAAGCTATGGAAGACTAATTTTTAAATATATATACTTGGGTTTTTTATCTGTAGGACATAGACATGCACTATGAACCTACTGACACTGCTGCAATGGCTCGTACTTCCAACCTCAATGAAGAACTGGGACAGGTAGGCAAAAAAATTACTGCTTCTACCTCTTTGTATTGAAATTATTCTTAGTCTTTGCTTATTTCTAGCACAGATTCTTGTATTTCAGCTTTAAATTTTAAAATATTTCAACTAGTAGTTTCTGGAGCAGAAGGATTTAGAATGTTAGAGAAATAGGAGACCTGGAGTAGGTAGAAAGGAATGTATTTCTTCTATTCCTGCAACTTGGCATTTGTGAACTGTTGCTTTTTTAATAATGTTTTAGCTTTAGGAAGATATTTCTGTGTCAATAAGATGAGTTTAGAAATGCATATAGATACTTTTCTTACCACTGTTTTTTGTCAGAAATTCAGTATTTTACTAGCAAGGTCATTGGTCATCCCTAGTTTCTTGCATTTCAACAGTGCATAGTGTGAGGGATAGTTAACTATACCACCACACACAGAAACAAGCTTCAGTTTCCTGATATCTCAGCTGATTGATTTATTTGGAAATGGGTATGGAGGCTGTGCATGTGCCGTGTTTATGTACTGGTTTTGTTGGTTT